AYATATATWTATWTATATATATATAAATATGACTAYACTCTCTCTCTMTATATATATATCTTTAGATACATTGGCCATACTGGAACTGAAGGATGTTTTTTCCTCRATTCATATATGTGCACAAAGGTGTTCTGCAACTCCTGTGGGTAATGGACATTCTGGCTGTAATAGCATTAGATTCAAAATTGGAAAGCATTGATTTTTGGTGAGGCTTTATGGAGCAAACCTTTTCTTGCTGTGTTATGTTTACTGGTAACAACTTCTGAAAAGAAAAGTAAGCTTAATAAACAATTTTAGGAACATATCAACTTCRGCTTGGGCAGCCTTTCTAGAATGGGCTTTGTTTGCCAGAATGCTGTTTTAGAACATAAACATTCCTCGCTTAGAGCAGTCCTCCTAGAAATAAGTTGCAAGATGCACTGCAGAACGACTGCAAATCCATTATCTGTTGTTAATACATCAGTAAAAAAGGCAGTGTTGTAGCGGAAGAAGGCAGCTTCTCTGACTGCAGGCCAACCTTTTACTGTAACAGGAATCTAAACCTGGTCCTTACTGAGGTGCTCTTAATATTTGTGTGAGGAATTCCCTTGCAGAACAGCTAAAATGTTCTTGGGAGCAGCCTCCATCTCCTTGCCGTCGCTCACCTTTCACTCTTAGACCTTTTGGTGTCACTGGATGTGCTGTTGTCAAGGTCTTGATTGTGCTTTCTGTGGTTATTTCATGTTTTCTTCAGGAACTTGCTAAGCCATGTGCTGTTTAACCCTCTTTTCAGGGTAATCAGCAACACTTTGGCTGATATTTGTCTTAAATCAAAGGAAATATTTTACTCTGTAAAGAGTTTTTTCCTTTGAGTTTTCATGTTTCAGATATTTCTTTACTTAGAGATTTCCGTGGCCTCTCTAATTCTTAGCTCTAGTGCAAGAATCGAACATGCTGTTTCAGGTTTTGCCTTAGCAAATGCACAGGCAGGGAACTATTAATATCTGCTTTTGTGTGTTGGAATTGCATTGTTCTCCTCATCTTTGTTRCACCATGGCTGCTATTCTGCAAAAACATAATGAGCAAGGATGGGAACCATGTACAAGGAAAGCGGCAGCTCTACAAGAAAGTGCTGCAGGCAAATAACAAACTCTCCTGGCTTCACGGTAAGTGTTTTAGAAGCCTAGATAGCGGCTTGATAGATAAARCAGACGTAAAAATTTGTGTAGCCAAACCCTTTTGCTATCAGAACTTGAGGTCAGCTCAAGGAGGCAATAGCCTATGTCTTTTCCAATGTTACCGAGTTCTGTTTTCTGTCGTCTTTGGAGTGTCTGTGTTTCAAACTGACTTGAGCTACGTGCTTAGCAGCTGCTGAGCTTAGTTTACAGCTTTCCCTCCTGCTTAAGAGCTGCTGTAACAGAATAGAATCTGGTTGGTTTATATAGTAATGCTTTTTATTTAAGTCGTCGATATGTACTCTGTTGATTAATTAGTTTTACAAAATGACTTTAAAGTGGCCCGACTTATATGGCAATTACTGAAATTTGTTCATGAAATTCCTTCATGCTGCATATCAAAATATGAATGCAACAACACATGTAAACCAGAAGTTAACTAGTGTTTTCAACTGGGTTTTTTGGTTGGTCTGTTTGCAATTTTTTACCCATCTTAAAAATAAAATAAAAAYACAGAGAAAACTGCCTCCTGCATGGTTTGGATCTGGGCCCATTCAACTGAAGTTCTGATTTACAAAATTAGGTAGCTGACAGTACGACTGAGAATATTTGTTTTGGATGTAAAGCTGTTTATTACAGAAGATGAAGCCACGTGTATGTCCTGGAGAGTATAACAGTTGYAAGGCAAAGCAGGGATTAACTAAAGGATTTAGTGAACACAGCTGGTGTTCTAAGGCCTCTCTTTTTTCACCATATTAATGTGGAAAACTTGGACTGGTGAAACTTAGACTTTTAGTGTTGTATCCTTTTGAACTCTTTAAACAATAATTAAAATAATGTAACTATTACAAGATGCAGGTTTGAGAATTTGGTCACAGCTTGGATGCTGCTACAGGTAATGGCTCGTCCTGTTGTGGCCACTGTGCTTGAAACGTGTCTAGAGTGGAATATTGTGCTACTGGGCTGCTGCTGTGGAAATTGTACTCACTGTGATGTTTGCACAGGGCTTGGAAATGAAAACTGAAGGAAAATGGAAAATTGTGGTGGGTAGTTGCGTGAGTGAAAAATCTAGGTGTTGAGAAAGCTCTTGTACAAGTTGGAGTTTTGGCGGTCTGCTTCAGGCCTCTTGCCTGTCAAGTTATCCAGTTCTGTGCTTGCCCTCACTGTTGTTCTCTCTTGTCTCCCTTTTATTCATCTTAACTGGCAAGGAAAGTAGTCTTGAGTTACGACTTATCCTCTGCTGAGATGTAGGTAGCGAAACATTGATGGGCAACAACAAGGATGCTGTGATAGTCTTGGGATGGAGCATGTGTGGAAGTATGTCCAGTACGGGCCAAGGAATGAACTTYCGTGATGCGTTTCTTCTCGTGAGGTCAGGTGTGGAGTCACTGTTAATATATTTGAACATGGTAATGTGAAAGGCRGCAAATGAGGAAACTTTTACAAGCTGTAGATGTAACATGACTTTGTTTTTCCTCAAAACCCATACACATACTTCTGGGGAAACAAATACACATGAGTTTTTCCCTTCAAGGTATTCGATTTGCAGTATGTATGAGGATATGTCCCTCAGTTGCAGTTAAACTTTTYGTGTTAGTAATTCTGGCCTCGCTRTTAAATCAGACTTGTGATGACTGCAAATTTTTAAGGCCAGGGCTTACTAAATTTGTTGAGTATTCTTGGCCTACATCATGCCTAAGCCGGGAGGTCCCTCAGCACTGTCTGCTCTCTARTTCTTATCCATGAAGATGGATGATATCCAGGCAGGCCACGTTATGCGGAAATAGTTAGCGACTGTTTGCTAAGCAAGAGCTGCAGCTCAGCAAAGTGCTTGTCAAGATTTTAGAAATCCAGTCTGGAGTTACTTGTTTGGTGAGTTCAGCAATGCAAGTGTGCTTCGGGATCATACGCTACATGTGGAGCTGGCACTTCCTGGTTTTGCCAGCTAGGAACAAATCCGAAGTTAGTCTTTCTGTTCTGCATGGCTCCTCATCAATAAAGTCAAGGTTTTAGGGAGAGAGGAAGCTAGTTACATGTCTACCTGGATTTTTTTCTTACTTGATTATAATTGCTCGTGTGACTTGATGATTACTTCTCCTAAAGAGGAGAAATCTGGTTTGTATCCATTTGGAGCTATTTAAAGTTTGTCTTTATTGCTCACGCTGTACTAAAATTTCGAGGCTAGATTCTCGGAGTTGAGAAATTTTGTTTTAAAAAAAAAAAGTCAATTTCCTGACTTTTAATTGCATRCTGTTTTATAGACAGGGTTTTATTTGGGCTTCTACCTCAAATTTCTGTGTATTTGCCTATTAATATTTCTTTCTGATGTGAATCATCAGTCAGTAGAGCTGTCACTCGCTGTGTTAAAATCTTTTCTTAAAAATGGCTTGAGAGAAATGTTTCAGGTGGCTTGTGCATCTCTGTGTTGAAGAGTATGCAAGAGGTATGTTGGTTTTAATTTGGTGCTGCTGAAATAAGCTGTTCAAATTAAAAATCATATAATTGCATGAGAGAAAATAAATCCTAGCACTAGGACTTGATCAAGGAGCTTCTTACCTATCCTTCCAATATTCTTCCCAGGAAACTGATGTATTTTATTTTAGGACTCTTGTTTTCTTCTTTCCTTCCAGCCATAGTTTCTGTTGAAGCTTGTTTTTCTTTTGGGTGATGGGTCATGTCCAGTCAGCACAATCCTTGAAATAGGTTGTGGGGTTTTGTTTCAAGAAATATTTTCTCACTTTTGCAGTCTCATCAGCTGCTGTCACATGGGCTGAGATATTAAGCCTTGTGTGAGCTGAGATTTCCAAGTAGGTGTGTCAGCTCTTGCTCGTTTCCAAGACGTTTAATACTAAAATTCTGCTCTAGTGTACTGAGATTCGGTGGGCAATTCATGAACTCAGTCAGTTACAAGGGAGGAGTTGGTATAGCCAAATACACCTACTTAAAAATAAAAAGAAACCCTGCCCTTCTCCAGAATCAGTCCAGAAATTGGAAAAATGTTTGTCCCCTTTTTTCCCATTCRGTCTCTTCCATCGATGCATCTCTTCCTCCTGCCAGTATCTTGTATGTAACACATGGACGTTCCTCTGCAGTAAGATATGCGAACGCAGCTGTAGTCTGCGTGTGCTTGGTGTTTAATCTTAGTGTTGATGCTTGACAGCAGGAGAGCTTGGAAACCGGGATATCAACACTAGCTGCTCCRGTAGTTACAAGGAAGAAATGCTAGCTTGGGATTTAGTGCATTGAAAATCCAGAAATTTGGCAGCTGCTGAAGAGCTGTGGTGTGTTGTGCCTGCAAAGAGCTGCAGGGCTTCCTTCCTTGCACTCTTTGTTGCAGCCTGCTCAGGTGTGGAGGCAAAGCAGTTTGCCAAAGGCTTGGGAATTGCCAAAGAATGTCACATATCCTAGTGAGACTTAGCTGTTCATTAAGTGTTTTCCTCTTTTTCTGTAGTTAAGATTAATTCTTTTTACCATTTATTTGTACGCAAATGTCAAGTGAAATAGTGCTGTGTTGTTGCTGCCTTTTTAAGAAAAGGCTGCGAGTTGGAAGCCCAAGCTGGTTAAGTGATACGTGCAGTTGTGATTACATAAACAGCAGTAGTTACGGCTGCTTTTATTATATGTGATACACTCTTTATGGAAAACATTGCCAATACCCCATGCCTTGGCTGTTAMTATAATAATTTGCAATACTAAGATGGAGTCCTTAATCTCTGCTTCTACCTAGGCCACAAGATTTTCTTGTTTTGTGTTGTTTTGTGATTTGTACTTATTTTTTTTTTTTTATGTCTAGTCTTGCTGCATTCTGCTTTTGAGGATGAGCTTTGGTGGAGGTGTTTGCTCCATAGGTGATGCTCATAACAGCATTTCCCACCTGGTGGCTTGTAACATCAGCCAGGCTGCCAACAGCAGTCAGGAAATCCAAAGGATGCTGCGATCCCAGAGAAGCTGCGAATTGGGAAAAAAAAAAAAAAAGCAAATTTAACAGGGGGACAGTGACTATAGCTAGCAGAGATGGCTTCCTCCTCTCCTTCCATATTTCAAAGCTGAAGAAGCATCTCCAGAAGCCTTTGGAGCTGTTGTTGGAAGGTGGCTAAAGTACCCGTCTTAAGGTGTAGATCAAGTGACTTTATTTTTATCATACATCATCTGAGCCCACAAGTTAACTGTGGGATAAGAGGACCTGGGTAATGTGGCGATTTTATGACAGCAAAGGGAGAGCTACTGATTTAAAACTCACACCGACCCCAGGCAATTGCATTATACCAGGTCAAGATGKGTTTCGTGCTCCTCTGGCCTTTCGGCGTGGGCTGAGCATATGATTATGTAGCAGTTTGCAAAAGACCTGACCTGTTCTTATTAAATTTTTGTAACTCCTGAAGTAAAATGTGAAATAGCAAAGGAGTAGTTTGACTTTATTTACYAAATATACACTTCTAAAATTCTAATACTTTTTTTACCTTTGCAGATATATGTTGATTTCCAAGTGAACAATGGAACCAGATATTATTCGAATGTACTCCTCATCCCCTCCACCACTAGACAACGGAGCTGATGACGACGAAGATGAATTTGGAGAATTTGGAGGGTTTTCTGGTGTGAGTCCTGCTGGTGTAGCTTTTGCTGATTTTGATACAGCAGACTACAGTAATGCAAAGGAGGAGTTTATATCCACAAATCATTTTATCCCCCTTCATGATTATTCTGACAATGTAGCTAGCYTTGCAACTTTCACCTCTGTGAAAACTGTTAAAGATAAAGATGGTGTCTCAGAGCTTCCCAGCCTCACTAAAGAACTCTCTGATACGTCAGCTACTAGTACCAGCAAAGAAAAATCTAAGCTGAGAACTTCAGGTACTACTTTTGRTAATAGCTTAGAAGGTGTGAGGAAAAGGGGGGAACAAAGAGAGGACATTGGGAGTTTGGAGGGCTTTTCTTCTGATGTTGTTAGGACTGGTACAGCAGTTGAGAGCCAGGATGAGCAACCAGATGCTTGTAATGGTGAGGAACTTCCATGTCTAGAGATTCTAACAAACGGGTTTGCAGCGTTAGACCCTGCAAATCCTCAGGGAACAGAAGATCTAGACGGCATCAGTGACTCAAAGGGACTAAAAACTGTTAGCACCTGTAGTACTGAGCTGGATTTGAACTCAGTGCGTAGCTCAGATGAAGACTTTGCAGATTTTTCTTCATTCTCCAACAAAAAAACAATCAACTTGGAAGGAACAGAGCCTACAATATGCAGTGTTAGTGAAAGAGACTCTTTAMAAATTCAGGAAAACAGCCTAATAAACAGAGGAACTGAAAGGATGAGGTTCACGTCTAATAGGAACTACGAATATGAAAAAGAGGTTTATACTGAAGAAGAGACTTGCCCCTCAGAAATGAGCTGTGAACAGGGTCCTGCAGCCCTGGAAGGTCATGAATTCACAATTTCTAGTGCACCTCAGGCAACTGGAAGCTCAATATGCACTACTGAAAATGAGGAAAACAATGAAAGGAGAAGGCAGCGTGACCTAGAGAATGGCAAAGGTTTTTCTAGGCAYGATGGCTTTTCAGAAGCAGAGGACATCACAGCTGATAAGATTGAAAGCCATGAAAATTTGGGTGATTCTGAAGATGCTACAGATCGTGGGAGTAGTATTGAACTTGCGGCTTCCCATGACACAAATGATGATTTTGGTGATTTTGGCTCAATTCACAGTGCATCTCACACTTTTATCAATGCTCAAGAATCAGTAAATGCTCAAGCTTTAGAAAGAACTTCTGAAGAACCTGTGTATGTTAGTCAACCTGCTGATGATTTTGGGGACTTCAGGGACACGAGCACTGCTTGTCAGGAGCCAGCCAAGTTGGATCAAGCTGAATTAAATCAGACTTCTGGCACCTTAGCATGCGATGCTACCAGCGAAATGTCTCCCTTAGACTTTCAGCATGCTACTGAGATAGGAAATGGTAATGCTGGTGAATTTGGAGACTTCGATTCGGTGCCAAAACCTCAGGAGGAGAGCGTTGCTTTTCAGGACTCGGATGACTTTGCAGACTTCAGTTCGGCAGGCTGTAGCCAGCCTGCGGACTGGAATGCTTTTGAGGATGAACAGCAAGAGAGCTGCTCGTGGGCTGCCTTTGGGGATGAGCAAGCTGGGGAAGCCCACCACAGAAAAGAGACCTGGCAGTCGCATAGGACAGACGCACCTGTGGGGATAGATGGTCCAGTTGTCCACGAGAGGGACGGTTCTGCTCCAGCAGCTTCTCAAGGAATGAGCAGGAGGCAATCTCAAGAGCCAGCGCCTTCCATACAGGTAAAGGTTTTCTCGGCTCTGTTCAGTGCTGTTGTGCCCATGCAGCTTTTCCTGCTTCCTGCTCTTGTGTACGAACAGCGTTTGGATAATCCTTGTTTGCCTTGTGGGAGAGATTTATTTGGTGGGTGAGACGGGCTGGCGTGAAATAGCATGCTGTATTTGTGTCTTTTACACTGTTATTTCCTGCAGAAAAATGGGCAGGCTGTGCCCATGTTTGCTTCGTGTGCTTCAGCTTTGACAATTAATTGTTTCCCTGTAAATGAAATGAAAGGAGGGATCAGCCATTCAAAGTGTTTTGGGGTTTGCCTCACAATTTACTACTTTGACTGTAACTTTGTTCAACTCCTTTGTGGTCTGATGTTTTCATAAAATCATAGTGCAATTGGAAGCTGACACGTTGCTGTTTCCCCAAATTATGTATATATTTAAAAATAAGCAGAAAAAAAAATGATTCCTTGTAGCTTTACGTCTAAACTGGAGTTTGGGGCGGGGTAAAGCATAAGGTAACGTCTTTCCTCTGTCCCCTTAGCTTTCAGCCCTAGTAGCTAAGTACACAACAATTCCTATTTAACAGACTAGGTTTTTACCAGTTGTCTTCAAGATGTGTGCCTGTTGTAGATGTGTGTGTATATACACATATGTGCATGTATAAAAATGTGTGTATATATAAAAAATGTGTACATATGTGGTTTAATATTACACTTTCAAAATCCAGGACAAAAAAAAAAAAAAAACATTTAAAATTCCATTCAGTGCTTCTTGGTAATTGCATCATTAGATATGAGTATGTTCTGCCTTGAAAGGTAGTGGCAGCAGCACTAAAGGGTGCTGATGTGCACCTAAAAGGTGTGGATCTCTTCTGGTGGTGAAAGGAAATGAGGTGAGTCCCTTCCAAGACCTTGTCTGACMTTGGAGGCAGCTCTGCCTCCAGACTGGCTCTCAGGGATGGATAAAACRGCTGCAGCAGCTGGAACTCTACAGGCACCAGCGTACGGACTGGGGTCGTTCCGATTGGCGTTGGCTCTGTGTTGTGTTAAAAGCTGGAGCTCCTCACGCTTCCTGCTCGCTGACTTGGCTTCAAAGGGCTTCACAAGACCAAAAGCAAACCCAAAAGGGTTTTTGTGCCTGTGCAAAACCTGGCTTGCTTACAAGGCGTCRCCTGAATGTGCAGTTGCGTGTTGAAGATGAAAGCACCCACGTAGCATGGTGAGCTGCCCTGGTGCACTGTCCTGTCCATAGGCAGGGACAGCCCCGGGSTGGCTGGTGCAGCGCTCTGATGTTCCTGCTCCACCTGAAGGGCTGCTGCATTTCACTGAGGAAAGCGAGGTGGAGATGGAGTGACTTGTATTCCAGTAAATCGTACCTTTAGGGTAAGAACCGAATGTTCCAAAGGGTTATTTTTACTTAGGAATTTACAGTATTTTTGTAACAGAACCGTAGATTTCAGCTGAAAACTCGCTGAATTTGGATGTTTGTAAAAACCAAACCTTCATAGATTGTTTTATTATTTTTTCMAATCTGCTTGAACAAAAGATGATCCAAATTACAATGAAGGGTCTTCAGTAATTTCTTATGAAGTCATCGAATGCTTTGGTTGGATTACAAGGTGCTTAGGCTACAATATTTCTTCTTTCCTTGTATTAATGCTGCCAGCCGCTGAGATTGCTCCGATACAGGACTCTGCTCTGCCTCTCCTGCAAGCACAGAGGCAGGACACCGAGGAGGTCTAGCCGTAGAGGAAGTAGAGCTGGCCAAGTTCTCTCTGTTGCAATGGATTCCTTTGTTTTGCAACACTTAGTAGCAACCAACTGTTGCTATTTACTACTTTTTTTCCCCTTTTTAAAAATTATAATCTCCTAAAACGGTAGATTGCACTTTTTTGTACTTATTTTGCACTCAGTAAGTGCTAAAAGTTTTGAAGGATCTGTTGTAATCTATTTATATACYTTTTTTGATGCTTTATGTTTTATTCTTCAAGTAGTAATTCTGTGTTTACTCCATGGAGCCGCAATTTAGTAAACAGCAATTAGAAACACTGTCTGTCTTGTGTTTTCTAGATGCTGAGATAAATTGAATCGACCTCAGCCAGTCCTAAGCAGTCCTAATACTTTGAATGCAATTTCTTAGGAAAATTAAACTTGACTTTTGATCATTTTTATTACTTTCACTTCAGAGGATGTCATTGAGGTGAAAATTTGAAGCACAGCCCTCTAAAGTGTTTGTTCCTCTTTTATTTCCAGTACATCAAAGTTGAGTTCTGGAATTATTTGAGGCAAAAGCAAGTATCTTTGCATGCAAAATGGAGCTGGAGAGAGACAAGTGAGCAACAAGTCTTCGKTATTTGGGCCTAGGAGGGAAAGGAGCAGTAGATCCCTCGGGAAGAGGAGAGAAGCACTTGCTCTGGCAGCTCCAAGGGAGCAGGGTGTGCAAGAAAGGAATATACCTTGCRTTAGACACTTGATAGATGTGCAAATTGAGAGCTCTGTGCAGGCAAACAGGGCCCTGGATAGTTTACAAGATCCCGTGCGCACTGGCTCTGTACTGCCAAGGCTGCCCCAGGCCCTGTAATGGTTTTGAAAGAAGGGCATAAAACCAAAATGACCTGCCTTGTGATTCCTGTCGCTACGGCTTCTGTACAGATTGCAGCAGTGATGTATGCAGCAGTTTTCATGCCCCCAGAATGCGTGTGAAAGGAGGGTTATTCAGCAGCAGCTCCTCTGCCCACGTGGCCTTTCTGTGTTTGCGTTTTGCTTTCCGTCGCTTAGGCGTTGGGGATGTGAGGGAGGCAGCAGCATTTTGTGCCTATTGAATGTGCTTCTCATCATGAAGTGCACCTTAAGCAAATTGTTTTCAAGATGCTGGAATTGCTCTAATGATGATTTCAAACTTCACAGACTTAATTTGAAGAAAATGCGTATTTGAGTAATCAATCCAGTTTTATCTCCAAACTATGGRAAATAAAATGGAAAAATAAGGTTCTTTTTGTGGCCTAGCTTTTCCCTYATGTAATAGCATACAATAGCAAAGAATTCATTGTGTATTTTCACCTTTATCKTGAGTCTTAAGGGCTCTCAGGCTGCTGCTGGTGATTTGAAGTGCAGGATTCGCAGTGCTGAGTGGAGGAGTTCATTAAACTGCCTGAGGGTGTGGGTAAGGGTGGCTGGATCGGCKCTCTGGCCGGTCTTGGCTGAGCCTGTCTTGTGCTTGTGCAATAATCCCATTTATCTGAACGGGTCAGTGATGTTTGGGTGAAACACGGCGCTCGTAGCAGAGCTGCTCCCATGAGGCTGAAGGAACTCAGCTGAGGGGAGGAAGTTATTCCGCCTTATAGTATATTACCAGAAAATTAATGTAAAAAATAAGAGCAGATGGAATTGCTGTGGTCTTRTGCAATGAGTGAAGTGCCATCCTCTTGGATAAAAAGTAATTATGACCCTAAAGGCTTCAGCCTCCCTGTTCACTAAGWTAAGTTAAGATAGTGCTTTTAAATGAAGCTCAGACAGGCGGGTAACAGCTTTCAGTGTAAATAGACCTATCTGCCAGGGTCCTGACAAGAACGGGCAGTGAAAAGTAGCCCGTAAAACTGCTGCTTTGAACAGGCTATCTGAGCAATCTTGCACAAGAAAATAGTTTAGGCTTTTGGTGGCCACATTAGCGTTTCTCCTGCAGAAGCTCATGTTTTCTGTGGTGTTTTTTGCTTCCCCTCGAGGCCGGCTGGGAGGCTCCTGCAGCAGCGCTGGGTACGACGGGGCGCCGGGCCGGTAGCCGCCGAGCTGCCCGCTCCCCGCRTGCAGGAGCAGGGTCTGGTGCCCGCCTGGGCTCGGGGCAGGGTGGGTGCACGTGTGTCCCTGCAGCAAGAAGGGCACGCTTGCTTTCCTATGCCTTACAGCTGCCTTCCTCAAGCAGGGGACCCCGTTCTGCTTCCCCAGTGCTTAACACTTGCCATATAGTCGCCTCAGGGCTGTTTGTAAATCTCCAGGCACTATTTTCCTGGCTTCTGGCCCCTGCTCTTTGCTCTGYCGTCTTTTGGGAGCCTTCACTTAACTTTGGAGCTCTGACCAGCTCATTATGGCCCTATGAATTTTCCTAAATTATATCTAGCATCTGAATTCCTTCATGTGCTCACTCGTGTCTCCTTGAGTAGACTTGAGTAGCTAAGTGATAATCTGTCCTTCTCAGAAGGTGTCAGACAAAAGCCTCCCAAGGGACTTGGAAGCGATGGTGGCATCAAGACAAGGTCGCAGCTACTTGGGCTGCGCTTGATCCTGGTGGGGGATTTTCTTGTCCTTGTTATTTCATTAGGACCGATGCACGAGGCTGGCTTTTAACCCCAACAAAGTTACAGCATCTCTTCTGCTAATCTGTGACAAAGAGGGAACCTGGTAAGAACTGTTCTGAACTCTTATGCAAGTGCTCAGTTTGCAGAGGATAAAGGTCCTTACTGTTTCTCAGCTTGTGTGTGGTGTTAATATTAAGAATCTCTTGATCCTCTGATACTTATTTATACACCTGGTGGTAAGTGAAACTATGTGTGAACTATTTGCTGTTTTCCATCTTTAATTTTTTTTTTTATAATTTTGGCCTCTCTTTAAAGCAGTTAACACATTTTCACACACAATTTTTTTTTTTCTTTTTTTTGATATAGACAACATTGTTAAGTCGTCTGGGACGAATATTTGAAGTCTGTTTTCCTTCCATATCCGTGCTTGAAGTTGAAGAAGAGATAAGTTCCTTGAATCATTTGTTGGAAGCGTGTGAAAAGCAAATGAAAACAGAGGACACCTTAGCAAATAGCGGGTAAGAAGSCCCTAATGCAGTAAACTTGAAATAAATTAGAAAGGTATCCTTGTTGAAAACTCTTCTAGCAGAATTTCAACACAATCTTCRCATACTGAACAACATATACGACTATTCCACCTAGTCAGCAGCTTCTCATCTGCTTTTTAGTGATGTCTGTATGAATTGGTTAATTAGAATGTGGCTTATTGCTTACCCTTGCTATAAATTGCTGTTTCTATTTGTGCAATGATGAAGTCTAACTAGGCCTTATTATGTCTGCTCTGGGCATCATTTTCCAATTAAAAGTCTGCAAAATAATTGTTCCGAGAACACTGTGCAGTTTTAGTTCCCCTGAGTGTTATGTTTGGGCATAAGTTTAATTGGAATATATAGTATGTCACTCATAGTAAAAACTATTAGGATATTTGTTCGAGGCTGCTAAGTTGTTGTTCTTATTGATAACTTGGTTTGTGATGGGGTGTATAGGGAGCTGATGGATGTGTGGAGAGAGCTGCAGGATATCCACGATGCCTACGGACTGAGATACCAGTGGGGTGGCTCCCACAGCAACAAAAAGCTCTTGTGCTCCTTGGGAATCGACACAAGAAATATTGTGAGTCTGTCGATAAAACATGTTTTCTATCAAACTGAGCTGCTTTAAATGCAGAACTGGGGCCACGTGTCTTTGTATGAATGCTCATCTCTTAATAGCATAGCTGCACTGAAAACTAATTTTATCCAACTCTTTTATCACTTAGTTTTTTKGCGAGCCGTGTTAATATTAAAAGTTGCATTAGTTTCCGTACTATTGTGTTAAGTCTGTTTTTATTCTCTGGTACTAATCTTACACAAGTTTCACAAAACTTTAAAAAAAAAAAAGTTATTTCTTGCACAATATGGCAGACGCTCTTAAGAAATCCTATTTTCCTTCTTTTTTAATTAGCTCTTTACAGGCAACAAGAAACAGCCTGTTATAGTTCCCATGTATGCAGCAGGACTGGTAAGTTTTTTTTTGTTGTTTTCTATTATAATTGCCAAGACATTATATAGGGAGGATTTAAAAGTCAACTAAAATTGATGAAAGGTATTTAAATTAGGAGATTTAATAGTTGTCAAAAAAGTCCACGGACTTTAAGAATGATTCAGGACACCAGTCCRTGTCAGCAGCTGTGGGAAGGCCTGACATTAACACTAGATGCTTCCAAGTAAGATTGAAGAAAATCCCTGCAAGACACTTACAGATTTCCATGGCAAGTATAGGGAATTTCCTCAGCACTCTCAAGCTTTATGCAGCTTTTTCCATAATAGACTGTTTATTAACTCTTGATTATATCTCAAATATTCCTCGATGGAGAGAAGCCTGCTAATGTTTTACAGTGTTATTGGCATATCAGTCTGTTATGGCCCAACAGATATATGGCTGTGTGTGCATATCCAGGTTCCTGTGTAAACGTACACAAGTTTTGCAGGGTTTACGCCTGCAACTCAAGTGAAATAAAAATAATGTTGCTGTAATAGCCAGTTAATGTGTACAAGAAATGTGCTATGGACAGTTTTGTTCTCTTGCTCCAAGGGCTGTGCTTTTTCTCATTACACTGCTTCATGTGCTTCTCCTCCAAAAGACTTGATTTGCTTAGTTAAATTCCAGTCTCGAAAGCGTGGCATAGAGCAGTGCATCTTGGTGGCTGAATTCCTGGAATTACTTTAAAATGCACTGGTAACAGATGCTCTGTTCAGAGCATTGTTGTCAGTGCAGGCTTTTGTACTTTTTTCCCAGCCTTGCTTTTATGCAGGAATATTGCAAATTTCTGACATATTTGATAACGCTGTTTGGCTGTAAGCAGTTTGTTTAAATTTTAAAACACAGCTTTGTCAGTCTTCCTGAGGCTTTTTAATGCCTTTATTTCCATGGCAATGGTTGCAGTTCTTGGTATCATTCTACAAGCTGATAATTTAACTTGCTGCTCCTGAATTATCTAATTGTAGAAGTGGAGTGCGTGTACTCTTACCTTTCTGATGGGCCACTTGATACTTCTGCAACAGGCTGCACACAATTGGGAAGGGAACMTGTCACCGTATCAAGTAACCATTTCCTCCAGCTTAAATTACCTTCCTAAAGGCTGAAAACAAGCTCTGGCCTTGGGTTTCTGTTACTGACACTAAAGTGTTTCTAAGGCTTCAGGAAAGCCTAAGGAGACCTTTGATTCTGTGTCTTTCCCCCTAATTCCCCCGTCTTGTTTCCCCTCACTGAATATATCCCAGGAGGTGTGATTACCCCCAAGCCCTTCTTTGGGGATTGTATTACCTAGTACTGTCTCTTCTCTGGTGTCTGCAGTTCTGTGTGTGTGTATATAATATATATGTGTGTGTGCACGTGTGTATGATTTTTATTTTTTAGGGCATGTTAGAGCCTACCAAGGAACCTTTGAAACCCCTATCTGCAGCAGAGAAAATAGCTTCGATAGGACAGACCCCTCCTGTATCACCGGAGATGAGCACATGTACGCCCGAGCAGTTCCAGGTAAAAAACAAACAGAAAGAAAGAGGGCAAAAGAGAGAACCAGAGAAAACAGGATGACTTGCCTCTTCCTTTGAATTTGAAAGGTATAGATGTCACGTACAAAATATGCTTGTGTGCAGAGGACAGGTGTTGGTTATGTAGATTGGATCCCTGCCCTTGGATCTGCTCTTCACGTGTGCCTGAAAGGTAGTCCCCGTGCTGAGACTGCAGCAGCTGGTGGACGACGGAGATACCTGCATTTGTTAAGAGTCCTGATGATCCCTACTGCTCTGGAGCAAGTTGCTTCAAAAAACAGTGGCCCAGTGCTTTGCTTCCAAACCAATTGGAAAAGTGACTTCCTTTGGAAATATTGTCCTTCCCTTCCATCTTTTTTTTTTCTCCTCCAAAATTTATTGTAGGAAGCCACACTACTTATCGGGAAGCCCCTCTACTGCTATTTTTCTAGATGCTCATTTATGTATATACATATATGTTGTTTTTTGTCTTTCCCTTTCCCTTCTGAGTGACRTAATACGTAGCCCAGCTGCCCAGAAAGACATTCTGCACACGCAGGGGTAGATGTCTCCTCTCTCATTGCCCAAGTTCTGCTGTCCCTTTATGCTGAAGTCTTTTCCTGAATGATTATCCATTCAACAGCTCAGAGTTGCTTGGGGAGCTTCCCCGTCTAAATAGGTGGGATACAAAATGAGTTTGGAGGAGCTCAGGGTTGAGCTTTTGAATTMTGTCTATTCATGCTCTGATAATAGAATACATATGGCATGTGAGAGTGTTTTATTTTTATTTTTTTTTCCCACCATCAGTGCTGTGGAACAGCACTAACCATGTCAGTTTGATCGGGATTTGGGGGTTTTGTGATAACGTGCATCTCTGATACCTCCCATTCTGCTTCTCTCAACTCCTACAGTGGAACCGAGCAGCTGAATTGGATGTTGGAAATGTTATGTAGTTTCTGTATTTGCACGAAGCTGGAAAGTTCAGCTGCCTGCAGAATTTGGGATGGCTTCTTTTACAGAGGAAAAACAAAGATGAAGCCCTGTAATGCAGAGAGCTGTAAGAGCCTCCACTAGTAGCATCTCTGACACGTGCCCGTTTCTTAGCTGCCTGGCAGTCCTTACACTGACTGCTGAAAGTGCTTATTAAACCTCTTACTTTTTCCCCTCTCTACTYAGTAATATTTTGTACCTCTGAGTGCCTCTTTGACATAGTATATGGCTAGGTCTCAGGTTTTGGTGTCTTGTCCCCTGCTTAGTGGTCTGACGAAGCTCTCAGTTCAGTAGCTGTCCACATGAAAGCTTCCAAGGTGTCAGTCTGTGCTGCTGCCTGCCTGCCTTAGATTCCTTCTTTTTTTTTTTTCCCCAAAAGGACAAATGCTAAAAWAAGTTTTGGTAAAGAGAGGTGGTGAACACTAACTAGTAAAAATGCACGGAAGCACAGCTGCCATTAAGTGCAATTAAAATGCAGTCTAATGCGTGTCCAAAAAAAGAAAAAGAGCTGCTGTTCAGAGTTGGTGTTTGATTTCTCTTGGTTTAGTGCTGTTCTCTGGCTAAGGTAGCTAGCTGCAATGTACACACCCTCCTCTTCCCGGGTTTGTTGTAAACAGCTTCCTACGTAGCTCTGTGTTCCTTTGGTGCTTGGCATCTCCTACCTGTTCAGGACTGTCTTTCCCTTATAGATCCTCCTGTCAGCTTTGTCCCGGGATATAGAATAACTTGTGGCTCTTCTCTGCTTTCTTTTGCCTAGTAAATTTGATAGAGGATGGAGATCTCCAGGGACCCAGGCCTTCCCAGGTTCTAGTAACTCTATTTTTTCTGCAGGTGCCTATTACAGCACTTCCAAAGGCACGTAAGCCCCCGATGCAGGGATCAGGTTATGGTAGAATACATATCTTAGACTTTCTGGCTGTTAGGGACTGAACCTTAATTAAACCTCATGGGGTGCGGATTTTTAAAAACAGTTTTAATTACATAAGGGGCCATCAGGACTTTTAACAATGACAGATGCAAACTGCTGTAGCATTGGCAACCAGCCAAAGGCTCCATCATGGAATTGCTCTCCGCTTGTACATGTGAGGAAGATCCAAGGATCTATCTTGCTGTCTTGGCAGTGAAAGAACTGCAGGTAAGAATTCCAGAACTAGTTTTSGCAAATGGAATCAGGAAACTTAATGGTGGTGCCTGAGAAAAACACATTTCAGAACTGCTGTCATTTTGCCCAACAGTGCCCATAGTGAAATATGTGAATTGCTTCTGTGTGAGCCTCTCGAGTCATGTCTCCAGTGCTTGTTTCTGAGGCATATATATATATTATATTTGGATTGCAAGCCCTTTTTTTTCTTCCTCTGGCCTTAAGAAGTGAAATACTCCCCTTTTTATTTTTTTTTTAACTTAGCTTTTCTGGGTGATTATTGGCATGGAGACGAGCTTCTACATTTTAGTCTTTTGGATTAAAGGAGCTCTTACATAATAGCGTTCTAAAATTGTGTGAAAACACTTCTCACTTGTGTCAGAAAGTGAAATATGATGCAGGAAAATCAGCAGGCATTTTAGTTCCCTCTTTSTCACTTCCTTAGTGTTCTGAGTAGTACCCTGACAGCTAAAAACGCTTTCTTTGTTCCCCTACCACGTCCTATAGCCTAAAATGGAAGGAGCAGTGCAAGGTTTGCTCTGATTCTCAATATTCTGCTAGATCAATCCCTTTTCCTTAAAATGCACTATTAAAATAGTAGTTGTAAATGCCTAACAGCATTGCAGCCTCTGAAAGATAAAAGGTTACGTTCCCATAAGCAGTGCGTGGTGCCCTTGTCTGAGGCTTCAAGGCTGTGTTTGAGTGTCTCCATATACTTAGTGCTGTTAGGACCAAGGTCACCAGAAGCAGAAAACGCTTCCTTTCTGTTTATTTTATATATWTTTTTTTTCCTCTGCCTTCTTTCATTTCATCTGCTTTTGTAAAGACCAGGGCTTGCCAACATCCTGCACAGATTGGGTGAGAATTTCTTGCCATCTCCCCTTCTTTTGTAATTTGTGGTGTTTGGAGTCAACAGAACGGCCTCATTCAACGGGGTAAAAAACAAAAAAGTTTAGAGAGTTGGAGTTATTTTTATTTTCCTCATTTTAAGAGGAATTGAACACATCTTTTGCCCCTCTCCTTGATGAACTTGAGAATGAATAATCATTAAAGGGAAGGTCTTGGCCACCACCTTTTGCATGCAACTCTCTCACGCTCATCAGTCCTAACTCCACAATCTGCTGAGACCAAAACATCGTGTCCTCCGTTACTGAGGACAGGTGGGAAGCTCGTTTGGCTTTGAGCTCTTCTCGCTCACCCTAGAAAACTACCCAATTACCAGACTAACCTCCTTTTCTTTATGAYACCTCCTTCTAATGTTAATATGCTGTAGGAAGGACAAACTCTATAAACAACTGTTGATCACGTTTGATCACTGACTATAGCTTCCACACCAGTAACACTATTTTTCTGCACAAGTCACTTTGGTAATGAAATTAYTGGCACTAAAACAGAATGAAAAATGTCCCATCTATTCCTTAAGCCCATGGAGTAATGACTGGTGTCATTACACTGCTGGGTAGCAGAAATATTTCCTGCCCTTCAAGTAGGGAAGATTTCTCTAGGCAAGACTTTTCCTATTCAGAAATGCAGAAGCCTCCATCTGCCTCTATTTTTCCTTTCTGTAAGCATCTATCACCTAGCAAGAGCTTTTTACAGTCACCTTAACTGCCCAGACAGGTAACCCAGATTCCTGCAGTCTTGACTATGAATCTGTGCATTTTTTTTAGTGCTTGATAGCTATAACTTTTAAAAGTAAGCACAATAGCCTGGCTTCCTACACGAGCAAGCAGGGCATGTGTCTCAGCCTCTGGACACCTGACACCAGAGWGAGGGGTTTTCAGTCATGTTCCTGAGAGCTTTGGTTGCTGTTTTTATTGCTATGAGAAATTCTGATAGTTCTGCTAGTTTCATCACACTTGTATAGCTGAAGGCACCTCCTTATTTCACATATTTTTCATACTATTTCATTGATTRTTGTCCCGAGAATAGAGCAGGACAGCACTCGCAAGCTGCTGTGTACTTAACTGTATATTCCTTTAAAACATGGTCCCTGATGCTTGTTTGATTTCTGTGTGTGTGTGTGTGTGTGTATGTGCAAAGGGCTGAACAGGAGGTAAGGAAAAGGCAGGGATGGGCTCCCACGAGGAGTTTGTTTCCATGCTCATTTTGCTCATTTTACCAATTGTTTATTGGATTTTCTAGACAAGTTGGTTTAATAATTTGAGCCCCATCTGTAAGAATTGTCTCTTAAAATGAAGAAAAAGTTATGTGCTCTTTTRTGATAAATAGCTACTTCTGCATATAATCAGCTCCAAGCATGGATATGTAGATAAACTTCACTAAAAGCATTCTAGAATTGGCCTCTAAATTGCACAATTTACTATGTAAAATGTCTCATTGTCTGTGAAACAAATACTAGCTTAACTTTCAACTGTCTTAAGTTTTTTTGTTGCTTTTTTATCGAAATCATCTAATTTAGTTAATTTGCAATTTTTAAGTTAGAGATTACCTAATATGTACTGTTTGGAATTTAATGAGATTTTGTGTAGTCGAACAAATCAACTCCGAGTCTTTAGCACGTATTATGAAAATATTCACCTCCTAGAGGCTTGGGGCTTGCTCGTTTTTAGTATTTCGTGACTAAAGAATCTGTTGTTTGAACTGCTTTGCATTGTTGTAACCTGAACTGACTGTAAAATCTGATTTCTGACTTTTCAACTCTAGGAATCTCTACCACCTGTCCAGTTTGACTGGAGTAGCAGTGGCCTTACTAACCCTTTAGATGGTACGTCTCTCCGTAGAGCCTCTAGCACCAGAGCTAGAGATAAGAAAGCTACAAAGTTCAGACAAACATCTCTCTGCTGATTATTTTTTTAAATATATACGCACACATATATATATATATCTATAAAAATTATTTCTTACTCTTAACTTTGGAAATTCAGGCTTTCTTTCTGATTAACTGTGCCCCCATGTGAAGTATTAYGTGGTCTTAAAAACACTAAGTATTATTTTTAGATTCCTGACATATACTAAAGTCACACAGCTGCGATATTAACACTTCATTATATATAGCGGCAGATGATATTAAGTCTCAGAATAAATATGCATTTTAAAAGAATTGATTTTACTACTTCAGGTGTTTTTCACCCATGAACTCTCTCTTTAGTCACCCTTTGAATGATGAACTGGTGTGTAGTGGCTACTTCAAAGCACAATATTTTAACCAAAAACTGTTTGAAAAAGATACACTACTACTTGACCTGAAAGTTTTCAGATTTACAGATATTTTATATTTCCAAAATGTAACTTAATCTGTTACTACTTTGGCTTAACTGAAAGWTAATTATAGCTAATAGATTAGAGGTAGCTACAAGCTTATTTCTACTTATAAGTGTATATAGTTACCCCATAAAAGATCTTGATCCGTGTCTCTCTCAATGGAGCAGTGAGTTTTACCACCACCTCGGTCTCACAAATGTTAGCTTCTGCAGAGGGAAGAAAACAAGTTTTGGAAACTTGTTTGGCAGACTAGAAACACGTAGGGGCAGTGACACCTGGAAGAGGAGCCCGCTGGCAGCAGATCATTCACAACGTGCAACAAAAGCAGRCACAACCCAAGTAAATCTCCTGCTGCCTTGGTGTTGCTCTGCAGCGATGCTCAGAGCGCGTAGGGTGGCCCGATGTGGCCAGCAATATCATGGTGCTGAAGGAAAGCCTGGATGGACCCTCTTGCTGTTGTCTGGTGTCTTATTACCTCAGTCAAATCATCATGCTTTCTTTTTAACAAGCAACTTCTTTAAAATGTACCTTGGTTTGGTTTCTGYTTTAGTACTAAAGGGGAACAGTATACTCTGCCAGTGAGGAACTGGGCGGAATAGTGGCATTTGCTGCCATGTGGTTACACTGTCTTAAGATACTGCTAATGAATCACTCCAAGCTGATCCATGAAACTTGTTAATTTTTKGCTGCCTCTCTATTTGGGGACCCGCTAAGTCTTCCTAGTGAAAGAATGACTTTCAATTTCAAGGAGGGGAGAAAAAATCCTTCATAGTGTAATGACCAACTGAGCTATATATTGTTTCCCTTTAACCRGTCACATCTTTCTCTCTGGGTCTTGCTGGTTCTCTTTTCATTTTTAGATTGAAATAAATATCTCTATTTTCAAGTTACTAGTGTTGATTTCCTTGCTGCATTGTAAATGAGGAAATGTGCACTGGATTAAGTTGTTAACATTTTAGAAGGTACAAACTAATACTGTAAGCATTGTTTTCTTGTCAATTTTTAAATTGTGGACTGAGTACTAATTATAACTTGCATGTTCAAGTGTGTGTCTTACCCCTTTTTACACATAAACCCCTCCCTTGGCTTACCTTCTATATGGCTGCCTACCAACACGGTCACTGAATTTCAAGCTAGTGGAGGTTCCACTCTTCTGAACCTTGATTTCTTTGGGCCCGTGGATGACAGTAGCTCTAGCAGCACCACCACAATGCCAGGTCAGCAGAGTGTTAAAACCACGACTGTACTACTCTTAACAACTTCCTAAAAGCATGAGCACATCACTTGACTTTCCTATAAACAAGGAGAAATTTCACATTGTGTTTCCTAAAATGTCTTTCTGCTGCCTTTTTCTTTTAATCTGTGTTCCGTTTTCCGATGTTTTGTATCAAGTGCAAAGTATTTAAAAGGTACTGTCAGCTCCGTGTTGTCCCATGTTGAATGAATGGCGCTCGACGCTCTGGCAAACACGATGTTAAAACACTTGTTTCAGACAAGAAATCTTGCAAGTACTTGAAAATAGCTGGGTAACGTAGCGGTGACTATTCTGAAAAAGAAAAAAATCAAGATTGTCGCTGCTTTTCTTTAATAATTCTCTAATTTGTGTTATTTGGAAGGTGTGTGTGAATCTAAAACTGAGACTCAACATATTACAGTCCAGCTGGTAATTGCTACTATAAGGGAACCAAAATCCTTTGTGCAACTGCACACGTTGGTGATACAGTGGAAACAGTGTTTTAACAACAGTCATAATRGAAAACAAGGAGAGTTGCATGTTCGTGTGGCATTAGAACTTTATGGATGTTAATCTTAAAACTAAAGCTATTTTATCTGCAATTTGCTCTTGAAAAGGAGATGAAAATACCACTTTCTCCTTTCAATCAAATATGGAAGTAATTGAATTCATTTATTGTATGGTTTTGACAKGCTTTGCGTGTTTCATGTGAGCTTGTGAAAACCCCTGCTCTGACTAAATTTCTGCAGGAATTTGAGGGAATATCTCTGGGATTAGTCCTGGTACATAGGCTAAGTAGACAAATATCTTTTCAGAATGATGCCTGACTACAATTGGGAAGCAATGACAGGACCTAGCAGGAGGTTTCTCCTCTTTGTGATTTTAATTTAAGGTGGAAAGCAAATCTCTCCTAAAATATGGTTTCTTATTTATTGCAATTTTAGTTTAAAAAAAAAAAAAAAAAGAAAAAAAGAAAAAAGAAAAACACCCAAACCTCTTTAATCTGTGGTTTGGATGACAAAAGGCAACTTCATGGCATTGCATTCCCAATGTACCTTTGTTTCACCCTTGAGAAATGTCGTTGTCCGATGCAAGATTGCAGGCTTACCGTGGAAGTGGTAGGTAGCACACTCGGGTTGCTGGAGTCTTCCAGAGGGATTATAAAATCCTTTCCCAAGTGTGCAAGCTTATCAGCGTGGCGGGAAATCCTCACTTCCCTGTATCCTGCTGCTGCTCACGCAGTCAGGTGCCTCCTTGGACCCTGCTGCTGTGCGCACTCGAAGCGATTGCCTAAGAGATGCTCTGTTACCCTCTTATTGCTCTTTTTCTTTGTGTCACCAAACACAGGTATAATAACCACCTTTTCTGGTATGCCACATAGTGCCTGTTTTTATGTTCTTAGTTTTTTGCTTTTTTTCTTCTTCCTGACTTGTTTCTGGGAAAGTCATTTGTTCCTTGGCTTGCAGCTCGTGTGTCTGTGTGTGTGTTTAGGAGCTTGGTGTGGGGTTTGTTTGGCTAACTTTCCTCAAATATCTCATTAAGGTTTTGCAGTGCTTTCCTTAGCTATTCTCCGATCATTTGAATAAAATGGAGATTATGCAACTCTAATTAAAGCAAAGCGAACTTTTTAATTACTGTAATTGAAAGACAAATTATTAGATCTTTTGGCTTCAAGAAGACGCTTTATCAGCAGTAGAAGCTTGTTCTCTCTCTGAAGACCTTAGTTTTACTTGCTCTGGATCTCTGCTGGATCTTGTCATTAGCCAAAATAACCTTTTGTCCAAGATTGGATTGGAAGCCATTAACAGGGGTGGCTCACTTCCCAGATGTTCTCACAGACTTAGCATCTCCTTTTATTTTCTGTGTTGCTAATTTAGCTGAGTTAAAYGTAGCTGAGTTAAGGGTGTCCCTCAGAGAGCTGTAAATTGAGCAGTGACATAAATCGCCCTCCAGTGAAAATGAATTCAGGACCTTAACTGTGACTATTGGAATGATGTAACTTGTAAGGTTGCAATTTTGGGTTTGTTGCAGAGTTGCATGTCAAAGGGTTCCTTCTTTCGATTAGTTTTACAATATGTACCTTAATGGGATTTCACAGGCTTCTTTCTGCAAGTCAAAGTGTATTTCTTCCAGTCTTCCTCTCCCTGTTTGAAAGCAGATTTTCTATAGAATAGTTGGGCTTCTTTCCTATTTCCACGTTCTGTAAACATCTGATAATACTAAAATATATATATATAATGTTAAAAAAAAATACAGGTCTCGGCACGTGTGGATGTGCATGAAACTGGATGCAGCTTTGTGAGCCCAGACTAAAAGTGGGGGCTAAAAGGAGAGATGATGATTTTCTTACCAAACTATAGTAAATGAGGCAATTCTCCCTCCTGCAGCTTAGCCAAAMTGTAATCTGAATTTTGCCTTTTTGATTGGCTTAGTTTCCTAACAGAGAAGGAGTATTTAACTTGAGCTTGAAGAGGCTGCCTGGGAAGAGTTCCCGTGAAGCACACGGGAGGTTTATCAACCTTATCTGTTTGCATACTCAGTATTAAATGCTGGAGGGAAAAGGAAGGATGATAAACACAGGGATTTTTCTGATTTGGTAACTTCTTGGTATGGGAATGCATCAAAAACTGCCTCAAATCGAGCACATAGACTGGGTAAAGTCCTCAACACATCAGGTTATAAGTACTACGCTTTAATTTTGGTAGCTCTGTGGTACTGTGGTGTCCTGGTTGCAACACAYGCTCTGTAGTATGAAATACTTCTGTATTGGCCAAACCTGCAGACACCAACGTTGAGCTTGTTTAGGATGCGGGAGTCTCTTACAGCAGTCTGTAATCTTTGGGCACAAAAACATTAGCATGTTTTTGAAAAATATCTGTAATTATGGATAAAGTATAAGTGAACTTCACTTAAACCTGTGAAGCATGAAATAACTGGAACTAGAGAAACATCAGCAATTTAAAATGCTGCAGAGGAACGAGATGTGTTTGGAGTGTCTTTCCTCTCTTATGTGTGTTAAATTTTCTAATTTCTAGAGACTAAAAAGAAAAAGAGATAAAATACTTGGAAATTCTGGAGCTAAGGTGCTTTCTAGTGAGATACAGTGCTTGATCTAATAATGCTACAGGCATTATTTCACCTATATGTCTGATTTTCCTGGTGAAGTTTTCATTGTCTGCATTGATTTTTGGAATAAGCTTCGCTGCTAAAATCTGAAATTCGTTTGCAAAGTAAATGATGTCAGAACTCAGTATCTGACCTAAGATACAAGAAACTAAGAAATAAAGGCTGAAACATCCACATATCTGGTGCTCTAGGCATTTGAGAGATGACATGGGAGTACAGACCGAAAGTTTTGGTAGCATTTTAATTATTATGCAACTCTTTAAATGCCCTTCCACTTGTATGCATTATAAACACTGATTTTCCTCCCCTTGGAGAAACTTTTAAGCCAACGGCTTGCACAAAGCAAGATATTAAACTCCATAAAGTGCACGTCAGCATAGTGCATAATTTCTCCTTGAAGAGCTGGTCACTCTTGACATGGAGCTGTTGGAACCAAAAGAGTTGAGTCAAAACTCATTCGAGCCATCAGTTTTGCACAGCTGGCACTTCCAGGTGGAACCACATGTTTTAATATTTGCTCTTAGACTGAGGCCTCGAATGCCAGTCTTAATCCAGCGTCTGTGTTTTGGTTGAGGTGCAGCTCTATAAGCTACTGTGAAAAGGGTGGGGAGAAGACTTTGTTTTAGAAACACAGACGTGTCCCATCATGTTCTTGGTCCACCGATCTTGAAATTTTAAAACGATTCAGATGTTTACAGAAAACAGTCTGTAGCAAGTTGGTCTGTGGCTGCTGMTGAACATGCTTTCCCCCCACCCATTGCTGACTATCACTTTGTACTCTCAGGTGTGGATCCAGAGTTGTACGAATTGACCACCTCCAAACTGGAAACGTCCCATACGAGCAGCAGGGTGACGGATGCGTTTGCCAGACTCATGTCCACTGTGGAGAAGGCGAGCACATCCACAAGGTAAAGGACCTTTGTTGGCTGCTTGCTTTGAATGCTAAGGGTGCCTCAAAGTTTGAGGGGGCACCTGGGTGCACCATTTTGGCTTGCAAGTTCTTGAGAGAGGTTCGTGTTTAAGATGTGTGTGGAAGTTGCACGTTACACATGGTCTTCACAGCACCGTGGTTGTGATTTCAGGCTACCATCCAACTGTAAAATGAGCTGGGAAGCAGTTTGTTGGGTGACAATAAAAAACACAGTGTGACACAGGCCTGAAAGCTGGAGACAAGGACTGAAGGACAGGGAGGAAGAAAAGAGGGGAGAGGGGAAAAAATATATATATATATGTGTGTGTGTATACATTTATATTTTTGAGAGTGAAGGTATGAGTTAAACTGAATGTAGCTCAAGCTCCTAAGACTTGGACAGAAGACCCTTCAGATTTCCTGTGCTTAATTTATGCATATGAGAAGTTGCACAAGTAAAATTGTAGGCAGAGGCTTCTGAAAAGCAGCGTTTGCCCCTTTTCATGTAGTCTAGGTGCCTGGCAAGATTCCTGTAGAACTTGAGCCATTTTGTAAGCGATAAACGTGGAGTTGGTTTAGGTTGTCCTTTCTGCTTCGTAGATCTCGAGCAACTTTCTTCTAGGTGCATTTTTTCCTGTATATGCAGGAAAAATTATATACATACCCATAATATATACAGTCTGTACAGGCTTCAGGTGTAAAATGCCTTCCTCAAAATCYGGCCTCTTTAATGAGGCTGAAATACTCTCCGTTTATCAGGTTGTTTTCTTTGGGGTTTCTTTTTTTACTTGTRTGTTTAGCAGTAGAGTAGCATGGAATTAGTTGCTGTGCCCATTAAAGAGTGACACAGGCGAATATTTTAGAATTTATTCCATCCTTTCAAACTAAACATACATTTCTGTGCAACACAGCACTTGAGAAGCGTGATGGAAGAGAACTGCAGAGCATGCAGTGATTTTTGATTGAGAATACCCAGCTTTCTCAAAAGAGCTCGAACTAGAATTTGCAGGAGCTCTTTCAAAGCACACTCTTTCTGTGGGGCAGTTATGAGCTGGTTTTCCAGCACTGCGAGTGTTCAAAGCTAATATCCAGACTGTGAAATTTCACGTGAGAGCCAGCAGAGGGAACTCCACACCTCAAGGCCGTCTTGGCTTCTTGCCTTTCGCTCGGGGATTTTGCCATGCAGAGCCTTGCTGAAGCTTTGCACTCTCTGAAGAGGCCCCAGTGAGAAAGTCTGACTTTTGCAAATCAAAAAGCATAGTTACACTTGATTTAAATTAGACAGAGTTAGAATTAAAAAAAAAAAGTAACCACAAAAGGCCATATAGAATCTAAGTATCTATTTTCTTTATTTCAGTTCATAGATTTGTGCCTGCTTACTTGCCCTTTGAGAACTTAGCTCGTGTTTTATTTACAAATGAGCAGTCTRCTCAAGTGTTCACCATTATTTCCCTGTATGGGTGTTTTTAATGAAACTCCGTGTTGCTTTTTAAAGCTTTGATGAGCTGTGTTAAAGCTCTCGGGGCAGGTATCCAGGATCCCCCCTCGATCTCCAGCCTAGGAGGAGGCCGTAGCTCCTGTGCTGCGGGAGTACAGCAGGCATAGGGAAAGGCTGGAGACCTTAGGCTTAACTGAGCTCAGGTACACATAGACTGGCTGATTTAAAGCAGCCATTTTCAGTGTTTTAATAAATTTTGGAAGCTTTCTATTCTCAATTAAATCACTTTTCTCACCTCGTGCTCTCTAGGGGTGGAAAAAAGCAGTCTATTTTTGTTCTTTTCCAGTAAGAAACCATACTCAGCAGTAGGGCCAAATACTTCTACCAGAATTACATTTTTATTCTTTCGTAGTGAACTGGAGCTTTTAGAATACAAGTGGCTCGATGCAGCCAACTCATCCAGGTTGACACTGGCGTGCCAGCCTGGGAATGCAGATTATTAACATCCATAATAACTGGGATTATGTACGTAATACAGGGCATGATGTAGCTAGTGGCTTCACTTCAGTTGCCTTGAGACTATTCCTGGAGTATCTGTAACTCATCTGAACTCAGGATCATTTCAAGCAAAGGATTTCACTCAGGATTTCAAGCAAAAAATGCTGTTGCAGTGTAGGATGCTGGGCAAAGAGCCCTTTCCGTGTGAACCAGCTTGATCTTTTGCTCACAAACTGCTAACTGGCAGCTGGAAAGCCAAGGCTGAGAGAGAAGGGCAAGAAAAGTCCCCAAATATCCCAGCTTGGGTACGAAACCTTAAAGGCAGCAGTAAATGGTGCAGCTCAGCAGTGCGGTGGAGCGCTCCGCTCGGCTCTGCAGCCTTGCCTAATTCCATAGAATTGGCAGATAATCAGAGTTTATCTGCCTTCTCCTGGAAGAAAAAGCAGAGTGCTGATACATTTCCAAGGTACTGCTGAAAACCTGATTTGACCTGTAAATATTCCTTGTGGGCAGTGTTGGCYGGGCTGGAGCAGCTAGCTCTTAATTACAGGGTATGTTCTTTTATTTATTTATTTAGACTTGAAGGGCATATCTGTAATCAAGTCAAGCTTTTAGAGCCCAGCTTTTTTGTTTTGGTGCTCTTTGCAAACATAGGAGATCCCTAAAGTCCTGCAAGTTGGAGTATCCCAGGAAAAGGCTGGAATATAAAGCCGAGCAGGCGGGTGCTAGATATTATATGCTAGATATAATAATTATATTATTATATGCTAGGTATTATGTTAGAAATTTCTTGCTAGATATTTTCCCAGCAACGTTCTCCCCGTCTGGCTAATGTCTTGCAGGTTGGTGTACRTGTCCCTGCCAAAAGGAGGACTCGTGCCAGCAGGTTGAGGGATTGCCATGGCTCTTGGGGGAAGGATATTCCCTGGCTGGAGTAGCGTGGGAGGACGTGTCCCGTAGGAGAAGGGCTGAAGGGAGCCAAGGGATCCGGCAGGCGGGAGCCTGTTTGGAGCCAGGAGCAGGTCCCTGCATGTCCCAGAAATCACAGCTCTGTTTCCAGAGCAGATGAAGTTCAGGTGCCACTCACGGTCTGCTCATGTGAGTGTCACTGCTGTGAGCCGAGGGAGCTGGAAAATGGGAATTCACGAGCAGGAAGGGCTCTGCAGTGGGCCCTCAGGGACTGGAGTTTAGCTCGGAATGCTCTAGGCTGTGGGAACATCTTAGCAAAATTGGTCATTGGAATTAATGCATCTTATATGGCTAGTTCTCATTTCCACCAAGTGGCATTCATCTCCCCCCAAACATTAGGCAGTTTGGGACATCTTAAGGGTTAAAACAACTTGGAGTGGTGACGATGTTCTGCCTTAGGCTTAGAGACCGGTGAGCAGCTCTTCAGGGTTGGCTCGGGGCCCTTTGCTACCAGAGGTGCTGCCTGGCCCGTTATCCAGGGAAAACGGGTGCAGTGCCCAGCTAGATTCCTGCAGGAACCTGCAGCTCCCCATGGAGCGACCGAGGAGTTATCCAGTGCCATTCCCTTTGGCTCTGGTGTGATTTTTTTTTTTTTTTAAGCCCTTTCGAGCCTCGTTACCAACCCGTTGTAGCTGTAGCTTGGTGGCAGCTGAATAATTTTTGCTGCGTGGAGCAGAATGACGCACGGAGCAGAGGAGGAAGAGGCCTATAAATAGCAGGGAGTTGGAGAGCCCCATCTTGCTGCCTGGTGACAATTGCAGGAACTCCTTTCCGTGCCGCTCTCCCAGCCGGCCCTTTCCCTTTGGCTTCCTCCGTGAAACGCTCCTTTGTTCGTGCTGGCTGCAGCTCCTTGATGAGCAGGAGGTTTTAGCCCCTCTTAGAGGCTCGTGGCAAGGGGGTTGCTCGTGGTGGCAGCAGGTCCTGATGGCGCGGCGCGGGTGACAGCCGCCTTCGGGCAGCTGGGAGATGGCCCTTGGAGAGCAAACAGAGCGGCCTCTGAAGCTCTTGGGAAGGGAGGCACATGCTGCCCCGCTGCTGCTTTCTGCACGCAATCCAGCACACAGCTTTGTTTATCCGCCAGAACTTGGGCAGCTGCCGAGTCGGTGGCTCATGAAATTCCACTGCAGCAGCGAGAGGAAAATCCTGCTCTGCTCGGGGAGAGAGGCTCGGTCAGCGTCCAGGCTGCCCATCCAGAGAGCTCCCATCAAGTGCAGCCTCCGAGGAGCAAGCGAGAAGTGATAGGTGGGCATCAGCACAGCCACATCGGGGGGGTTTGAGTCCTGCTTGAGTTTGTGTCTCTGTGGGGTTTTTTCCCCCTTTTTCTTTCTTTTTCCCTAGCCAGGGAGTTCTGGGGCTGCTGCGGAAGCAAAGCCCGTAGCTTTTTCCCTGATTTCTGCTCAGCTAAGGGAGCAATCCTGGGGGACACCGACAAAAACACCTAGGTTCGTGCTGCTGCACGTCACCACTGTGGTGCTTGCCCTGGCGTGGGCTCCATTCAAAGCCTGTGACTGAGGCAAGAAAGAGGAAATCCCTAAAATGTCCCAGAACGAGGCAGTTTATCTGGTCACAGCCTCTTGTCTCAGCTTTTGCCCCAAAGAAGGGGGGCTGCTTCAGCCAGGTTTGTAATGTCATTGCAGAGGGTGGCAACTGCCTTCCTGGGACTGGGATAACTGGTGGAAAAATCAGGTTTTCCAGGGGTCTGCAAGATGAGCTCTGAGTTTGGAGAGTGTGGGGGTTTGGGGTCGTCGGTAGCAGGCTGTGCCAGGCTTCGTTTTGGTTAAGGAATGAGATTCTTGGCTGGTCGTGCAGAGCGAGGGACGTGCGTGCAGGTGGCTCTATCTGTTTGTGTTCAGCTATTGCTGCGAAGGAGGCAAAGGGAAAAGTAAACGGGGATGCCTGGATGTGTCGGATRTGTCTGGCCATTCCGAGCAGATAGCTGCAAATCATGAGCCCCTTTCTGCTGCTGCTGAAACCTAGAGGGAAAAAAAAAAACATTTTACTGATGTAGAGCAGTGTTGCATATAATCTAAGTAAGGTTGTGTCAGAAATGCCATGAAAGTACCCTCTTTTTTATCCTAAAAGTATGAAATTAGGTACTTCTTAATGTCCTGTGGTGTTTCACACTATAGCAAAAGACTGTAAAGGACTTGGGGTGTTTTTAAAAACTAATGATTCTGTTGTCTTGTTCTCTGAAGAGCAAGGAGCCCTGGAATGGGATGCTGGAATGGGGGGATCTGAGTAGGCAAGTGGATAATCACTTTCCCTCATTGTCRAGGTCTCTCCTTTCCCTCATTGCTACAACACTGAGGACCAGTCTGCTGGTTTTCTGTGCTAGCATTTTGCTGGTAGGCAGGCAGACCCTAGAACATGGGAATAGCTACAGCAGCAAACACAGAAGTGCCTGTCCGTGGGGCTCAACTGCAGAGCCCTCCGTCCATCGGGAATCCTTTCAGTGATCCAGAGGGTATCCGGTGGTGGATTAACRCTCCTCTTTCTTCTCTTCCCCACAGGAAGCCTAAAAAGGAAGAGCATCTTAGTGAAGAGGCTGCCAAGGTGATTTCTAGCCTTCCTGACTTAACTTTCATGCATGCCAAGGTGTTGATGTTCCCAGCCACATTAACACCTTCAACAAGCTGCCAAGAAAAGGTAGACTAAAGTGATGCGAATTGGACATTTTCTATTGATTTCTTTTTTTCTCTTCCCTCTGTGGGTCATAAAAAGCAATCTTGCTTTGATTAAAAGAAATTCAAGTTCAGATGATTTGTTGGTAAGCAGCACTAGAAAGGTATACATAGTAATGTATATTTATTTACATACTGGAGTCCTAAATTTATATTAGAGAAAAATGTAAATAATTGGGGGTGAATCTTTTTGAAGATCTATTCTTTTTGTTGTGCTGGGGTGTATACATTTCTGTCTTTGTGAAATACACTGGTGGTGTCCTTCTTACAAAACTTTAAAAATTAAAAAAAAAAAAGAAAAGAAAAACTAAGGAACACACGATGAAAACTTCAGTCTTCACAGTCTGTGAAGTCCCCTTTAAAGGTTTTCAGGTTGCATTGAGCATATTTCTTTCTTGCATATATTAAACCACTTGTTGCTGCAAAAAAAAAAAAAAAAAGAAGAAAAAAGTTACCTTGTTCCTTTGTGGATTTTCAGTTGTTTCTTTAAAATCCAATACTCCTCCTGTTCTAGCTACCTGAAGGTGTGTTTGGTTTGGTTTGTTTTCCCTCCTCCTTCCCCTGCCTCCCACCGCAGGTGGTTGGTTGATGGGTTTTTATGCTCTGGAACTTGCGCGCTCTGGCTCTGTCACTGTGTAGCCTTTGGGAGGGTGTGTTGTTGGTGACTCCTTGCTCCAGTTGTGGATCACGGTCTAAACTTGATTTCTGGGGTCGTTAGTCTGCACTCAATCAGTACCATTTGGACAAGAAGGACCAAAACTATATGAATGTCTTACGATGAAATTTTCCTGTTAATTTCTGTTTTTGTTGTACCACTATTCCTATGTTTGATTTTGCACAGTGTAAAATGACATAATCATAGATTGCTATGGTTTTAGGCTGTATATACAGTAAAAACTATGGGTTGTAAATGTTTGGGGAAATTCCTATGGAAAAAAGAGAGCTATGTAGAAGAACCTCTAAAAAGGTCAATGTGCATGCCCAAGGTCTTTTGAGATTTAAGTGTGTAAATTTCCTTTTAGGTTACACAAAATAAAATAATTTAAAAGATACATATATCCATGCATAGAGCCTGCTATCTCTTAATAGGGAGCGTGTGTGTAAGTCGTGCTGCTGCTGACGGTGGAAGGGGAGCCCTGTGTTAACACCAGGACCTTGTGGTTCACGCCACGAAACGCAGCTCTGGGCCTGCACGAGGCTTCTCCTCGCTCGTCCTCCCTCTCCAAGAGGCCTCTCCCTTCTGCCTCTGCCTTGTGCCCTGCGTTGCGGGGCCCTGTGGCTCGAGACACGCTCTTATTTGGGGCTAGTGGCTTCTTCAAAGGAATTGGCAGAAGCCAACTGTTTATATATGTGTGAGAAAGGAGAACTGGCTTTGCCTGCTTCCCGGCTAGGATTAAAATGTTGGTGTAGCCTCCCCTGCAGTCTCCTGCTGGGCTGGTTTGTGCTGCAGCTCTCCGAGCCCCGCCGCAGCGCGGACGATGCGGCTGGAGCAGATGTGCAGGTGAGCAGTGCTCCGAGGGCGGATGTCCCTCGGGATGCCGAGCACGGGCTCCGGGCCTGCCCTTCGCAGGGTTCAGCGGGCCCCGCCGTCCCCAGGTAAGACCTGCTGCTCACGCGTGTCCAGGGCCTGCCTTGTGCCGGGGAATTCTTTGGGCTCCCCGCTGCACGTGGGGCTGCAAAGGTTCAAGGCTGCTGGGCTTTGCTGGTGCACAAACCACGTGTGTGTTGTGGGCCGTGCCTGGCGCTTCGTGCACACACRYGTTGCTGTGTCCTGCTGCAGGTGTSCCGAGTACCCCGAGAAACCTCCTCGGAAGGTCCTTAGCCTCTCAGGCTTGTTCTGAGATCCCTAAATGTTGTGGAGATAGGAACCCTCAAGCACAGTATGCTCTAAATCCATCAAATGTCCTGAGGTTACCCTTTACTGCACTGCATTATTGAATGTAATTTCACCAGGTAATGAAATTACCGTTCTTAAAGGTGTTTTTTTGATGGTAGTTTGACTATGACCACTGCACTCCAGCTGGGCTACCTGTAAGTCTCCATACAACACGCAAGTCTCCCGGTGTGTACAGGGTGGATCAGCTTTGAGCCAGCCACTAACCTCTAAAATGCACCTATTTTGTGCTCTTCATGTACCTCCTTATCCTATCTCCTATCTCAGTCTGTACCTGGCTAAAAGAAGTCAGTATCTTTTAATTTTCAGAGCCACCTGCAATACACTGAGAGTTCACTTGAATATAAATTTAGATGGTATATGCTTGTATAATCACTGGAGTGTCTGCTACGCTGCCAGAGAAGTTTCCATAATCTAGAATCTGTTTCTTCCTGTTGTTAGGTGAAGCTGGAACACAAAAGGAGAAACCAGCTCCCTGAAAGCCAGGCTGCTGAAAACAGGGCGAGGAGGAGCTGAAAGAAAATATAAGGCAAGACTCAGAGGAATCTGCGTAGGGCGAGCGAGAAGGATGGAGCAGGAGCTGGAGGTGGCGGGAGGGCTCCAGAGGGAGCTGGTGGTGGTGGTGAAGGTGGACACGAGGCCTGAGGAGCAGGGGCACTGGAGGAGCACGCAGCCTGGGGAGATGCAGTGCACAGGCTCTGCCCGTGGGCTGCTGTTCCCCAACATCTGTAGCTCCACACACGTGTTTGCGGGAGGGCTCCTTGCTCCTGAACGTGGCTCGAGCCAGTGGGAGCTTTGCCCCTTGTATACGCAAGAAAACCAGTGCTGTGAAACCAAAGGTTAGGCACACGTGCGAGGCACTCGGAACTGCTGCAGCTCTGGTTTAACCTCCTCATCTTGAACCTGCAAGATGCGCTGTTGTGTCTGTGTTRCTGCACAGCTCTGTCTGCGTTTGCTGCCTCGTCACCCAGGAGGAGTGAGATTCCTGCTTCAGGTGTGCTCCATCTTCCTCTGGGCAGCARCTGGTCTTCTTGGGGCCCTTCTAGAGCAAATGCCCAGGGGAGCTTCCTAATACTAATCTTAGAAGTAGGTGTATGCCTTAAATAAGGCTGAGGGCTGCACACTGGAAGGGATGCGGCAACAAAGTACTTCTTACTCAAGTGAAGGAGGCCAGTGGTCCTGTGAAAACCAAAATCCTGTTGAGGTRCAGCTAAGGTGTGTGCCGGGAATCCAAGGGGAGGCAAGTTGAGGGGCTCGTGGGTGTTTTTGAATGTGTGGCTATGATCCATATATGATCCCTCAATGATCCATATTCGCACGCTTAACTGGAGGTGCAGCCCCTGCCTTCGCCTCCCGCAGCAGCGCCCGGCTGCCCGGCACGGCCTCCGGAAGCTGCGCCGCGTTTGGGCTCTGCCTCGCTCATCGTGCCGAGCTGCGCTGTGGGACTTGCCCCAAGCTGAACCCCCTGAACCCCCAGACGTGGCCGGGTGCGAAGGGGCTGGTGCCGTTGAGGCCGGGCAGGGGCCTGGGCGCTGCCTGGAGCCCTGCGGCGCTTTGGAGCGGCTTCCAGCCCGCGGGGAGTGTTGCAGCAGTGCGCGGGGAACAGGAGCACTTTGGTGTGCTTGAGGGAGGGTTTCGGCCAGTCTCCCAGTGTCCCTGCTAGAGAAATCCCTTCTCTGTATTCCTCTGCAGCGCTGGCGCTCTGGTAAGTGGTCCCCAAATCGGTATTTGTCCACAAATTGGAGCTTGCAGGGGGCCGATGTCACTGAGGAGTGAAGTAATACCCCGCTATGCCTCGCTACCCAAATTGAGTGTTGCCCTCATCAAAACAAGAGCTCTGCCCTCTGGTTTTTTTAAGGGGATCTCTCAGGATGCYGTGGGCAGGGATGGATTTTGCTCTGTGGCTGAACAGAGGGACCCCGGGCTGATTCCTATGGAGCAGAAGTGCTAAARCAAGAGCACGGAGAGCAGGGGGCAGTGCCTTGGCTTCTGCCCCGGTGCCGCCTGTTCCGTCCCTGCTCCCTCCTGTTCTCTGGCCATGTGTGTTTCCCTGGCTCCCGGATGCCGCTTCCCAGCGCGCTGGTGTTTCCTATTTTTTTACTGGGTAAAACCACCATCCTCCTCTTATCCACATGTTCCGCATCCCTGCAGCTCCCCGAGCCCGAGGTGCTCGCCAAGGCCTTGCAGCAACCCTCGGGGCGGGATCCTTTCCCGGCGGGAATGGGGGGACCGGGAGGCCTCGTGGCAGCTCCTCGGGCTGCTGCTCCTGTCTAATAACTGCAGCTCTTGGCGTGAGCCCAGCCGCCCCGTCCATCCTGCGCAGGGAGGCTGCACGCGCGGGAAAGCCCTGGGAATGAGGCGGAAAGGAGAGGAAAGGGGGTGAGGAAGAAGGCGGGGAAARGAGGGAGCACTGGGAAGCTGGCTCGGAGCAGCAGTGGTGAAAGAGAGGGAAGGGGAAAGGGGAGCCTTAAACCTGCACCTCAGCCCAGGGGAGCCCCAAGGAGCCCGGGTGCAGCTCCGGCCCCGCTGCCCGGTGCGGGAGAGGAGCCGCCCTCCCTATCCCTCCCCTTCCCCGTGCCAGCCGGGCCCGCAGCACAGGAGGTCCCCGGGATCGGGCAGCGGTGCCCGCGGCGGCACCGGCTGCTGCAGCGCCCGCGTTAACCACCCCCGGCCACCGGCCCCGAGAGACGCGCGCGGCCGCTCCTCCTTTTAACTGTTTATTGTAGAATATAAAACTACAAAAGTTAGACTGCTCCTTTCCATGTCCGTCTGTCCAAGGGGCGGCGCGTACAGCCCACACCTACATGGGAATACAGCAGTCTGGTTTCAGATGTATATGTCTGTAATATTGCATAGAAAAGGCACAGCTCTAAGGTCTGTGGGAGGGGGCGGGGAAGGGCAAATACAGCCTTTTTTTTTCCTTTTTTTCCGACAATCCGAGCCCTGCTCGCGTGGCCAGGCCCCGCTCTTCACAGTGCGGGCGGCAMCCGGGGGCTCATCTGCCACCTGTGGTTTCAACCAGGCTTATTTCCAGGAAAAGAAAAAAAGTGCTTAAAAATGGGCTAACTTCTTTAAAAACGTTCAGTCTCGGTCRTTAATAGGAGCGCGGAAAGCAACTCGCACAGAAGCAGGAGGCTGAAACCTGATGGGTTTAAGAACCAAACGAACCGACCCCTGTCCCGCCGACGGCGACGCCAGGCAGTCCGCGAGGCGCCGGCGCGGGAGGAGCCTCCGCGACTTGCTCCGCTTCAGGCGGCGACTCCGGCTTCCTGGCGGCGKCCTCAGGCGAGCGGGGCTCCTAGCGCGGCGGGAGGAAGAGCCGAGCGGCCTTCCCGGCTGCTCCCGGGGCCGGGAACACGCGGATCCCTGGGGGAGGAGCGGGAGCACCGGGCGCCTCTCCGGAGCCGCCTCCCCGGCCCTTCTTTCCATTCGGATTTACATTCCTAGGCGAGAATACATTCCTACCGTACATTCTGCACATGTTACAATCCGGAGGGCGTTAGCTTCACAATAAAATAAATATATTTACAGAAGGAGGGGAAAAAAAAAGAATAAATAATTTATGAAAAACAAAACGAAAAGAAACAGCTCACGGCAAACCCGAAGCGCTCCCGTTCTGCTCCCGTCTTGTCCCTTCATTGCACGTCAGCGGCGCCCGGGGCCCCTCRAGCTGCGGAGCCGCCGCGGGCGCCTCAAACGCGCCCCAAAAAACGGCGTTTTGGGGGATTTTTGCCTAGCGTGGGGGGGGGTCTCCATGCAGGTGCTTGAAAGCAACGGGCGCGAAGCAGGACTGTGGGGTTTGTTGTGTGTCACTGCAGGGCTCTGCTTCGCTTGGGAGAACAGAAAGGGAGCCCCCCACACTCCAAAACCCACCCGTTTCTCCCCAAAAGCCACACACCCCCCTGGCCCCGGAGCCAGGGTGTTCCATACTGGTCCGTGCCCCCGGGCTGGGAATTCCTTCATTGCAAAAATCGCGCTTTTGTTCTGTGCCTGCGTGCACATCTATGTTACATCTAGCTACCTACCAATAAATAGATATATGGCCTGCTTTAAAGTGCCAATTTCTTAAAAAAAAAAAAAAAAAAAACAAAGAACACCCGCCTCTGTAAAAGGCAGGCACGACCCAATTTCATCCACGACAAGACGGGAGCAGAACCGGCTGAACATTGCCAAACGGCGTACGACATAATTTAAAATCCCTTAAATAAATATCAGAGTTACTCCTAAAGAAGCCGCGGGCGCGTCCCGAGCGGAGGCTGCAGGCGCCGCTCGCCGCGGTACCGTTGAAGAGGCCGAGGCGCCGGAGGCCGGCGGAGCCGGGCGCGCGCCCCGCGGAGGAGGGAGCTCCGAGGATCCCCGCGGGATTTTGCTCCRAGGAAGCGGCGCGGCCGCGGGGAGCCCTCGGGGCCCTGCAGAGGCGGCGGCGACGTCGGGGCACCCGCTGCARCGCGGGGCGCTGAGGTGCGGGGCAGGAACGCGGCTCACGAGCACCCCGAGCAGCCCCGGCCCTTCCTTAAAGCACTTTGCTCCGTTTGCATCCAGGGAAACCAACTGCGGGCTTGTGGGATCCCGATTGGTTTTTTCCTCTTTGCACCATACACATAGAAAACATTACAGCTCTGTATAAAAGTACAAGTGGTTCTTGTACATCTGAATTACGCAGGAACTAGGTGAGCAAATCCTATCAAAATAGCTATTTTTTTGTGTGTGTGTGTGTATAAACAGCATTTTTTTTTTTTAGAAAAAACAATATCATAAACTGCAGAATCTGTACAAAAATATAAAATAAATTTGGGCAGCAGTTTCTAAACAGCCATGTAAATGCAACACTTAGAGAGGAGCAGGTTAATGCCTCCAAAAGGCTGAATTGCTAAGTCAACCTATACAGGGCTAAAATGGTTTGGAGATTATCTAAATAATAATTTTTTTTCCTTTGTTTACCTCTTGCAATAAAACTTATAGAAAAAATAGACAAATATGCACATGCAATTTACAGCTTTCCCCAACATAATCCTTGTGCTTAGCTTTTACAATGTTTTTTTGTTGATTTTTTTTTTTGTGTTTTCTTGTCATAATAACAGAACGTCGTCTACACTACCTACTCTTTCCGGCACCGGGCTAGTCGGTCTTCCTTGAGGAACCACGTTAAGCAAAGGAAAACAACCCAAGACATTAGCAGTGGTCGTAGGTGGATGAAGGCACTCCAACGCTGCTCGAAGCCAAACCTAGAGCGAGCCTTGCCTTGCGGAGAGGGGCGAGCGAGGCCGCATGCAGAGCGCCGAGGGCGCCGGCGCGCTTTAGGAGCCCACGAGCACCTCCATGATGTGGTCCAGTTCCGTGAGGTCCATTTTGAAAGGCTGGCTCGGAGTCACTGGCTGGCTGCTGTAGGGAGCGAGGCTTTTGAGGAGCTCGTCGGCGGAGACGGGAGCCACCTTGGCGGCGGCGCCGGCGGCCGACGTGCAGGGGTCGAAGTCGTACATGGACGTGTCGATGTCGGCGAAGAGGATGTCGTCCAGCGTCAAGTCCGTGAGGAAGCCCGTGGAGGCGGCGATCTCGAAGGCGCCGGGCTCGGGCGGCCTGGCCTCGGCGCCGCCCTCGGCCCGCGGCGCGTGGCCCTTGGCGCCGTCGCCCGGCGAGGCCGGGCACAGCTC